TCGGATTGGAAAGAAAAGGCTGTATGACTGCCTATGCTTTTGACTAAAAAAACATAATGTTACAGCTGATAGCTTGACACAAAATACAATGCGAGCTGATATATAATAATTCTGTTAATTAAAACAAAAAAAAGGATACGGACGTGCTAATTTTTTATGCAATCCATACATACGATTTTTTTTTTAATAAAACTGAAGTGGCAAACGAACTCACCTCATGGTAAATAGCTACTGTACCCCGTGGACAACTGCAATCCACTTCGAACAAAGAATGCTACAGGTGCGTTGTCATTTCTAAGGACTAACCGTTCCAGGTTCAGCGCCCGTAATTATACTGGATCTCTATGCCGTTTAGACAGGAATACAGCAGTGCTGCTTGCACTGCTGTACTCCTGCTGATCGGCGCCAGAAATAACTGCGAGGCCACCCTCAGTACTACTACCAGACGAATTCACAAGAGAAAAGAAGTCCTAGCATCTATTAAGTAGCTTTGTTTTTACCGACTTTTTTTTAATGGATAGGGTGACAAACGAGCACAGACAGACAGACATCTACATCTATCCTCGTTTACGAATGCAGATGCGTTGTCACCCGTGAGGACTGAGATAGAATGCCTCATTTTCAGTAAAAAGGGTCTCGGGTTCTCTACACTCACCATATGAAGAGCAGAGCCAGAGCCAGAGCAGCATTAAGCTATTATTTTACGCTGGTATTCTGTGAGAGCGTGGTCCTTCCCCGGTCCAGCCGACCCATTCGTGCTACAACTATACTACTAATATAACTGCAGCATGGTTCTACTACGTATAAAATGGAGCTGCAAAATGGAGGAGGTATTTATTTGACTGTATGTGTTTTTTAAACGCTACCCCCGCACTAGGATTTTCTTCTGTATTATGGAGGCAGTTACCAAACATAAATTGCACAAAGACTAACATACAGACCTGGAACAATTATTGTGTTAGCTCATATCTTTTCTCTGGGTGAACCGATTTTGATGATTCTTTTTTTTATCTGAAAGCTGGTGCTTCTCGTGTGATATCATATAAATTTAATCAAGTCAAAGACCTCGAATATATTCATTCGGTCGTATTGAAGTCGGATGTACAAAAATTTCAATATCACCACTTGTTTTCTGCATATCTGTCGTAAGACGTTTTGAAAGGTAGCGCGCTAGACGGAACACTTCTGAGGTTTCAAATCCCGTAGCTGTCGCGTCGTAGATTTAAAGTAGATTTAGGGCTAAATGAATTTGTGTTATGTTATTGTATAATAGGGTAACAGAGTGATTAAGGAGTTACTAACTCGAGCGAGAGAGAGAGGGCGAGAGAGTTACTAACGAGTTAGTACTACCTAACTAAAGAATTGCGGTGTTCAAATTTAACTTAAAATAGCCTTTGTGCCGATCTACTAATTGTGAATACAAATTTTGTAGTTTTGTTCTACCTTACGTTATGTACCTACCTGTGACACTTCTACTTAAATCAAGACTTAAATTTTCTCGAGATATTATGGTTATAAAATGAGAAACGTATAAATATAAAAAATATATATAAAAATATTATTTATAATTCACTAGTTAAGTCATTACTAGAATATTTAATAGAGATATGGGGAAGTGCATCTAAAACTAATATAAAAGATCTTCAAATACCTCAGAACAAATTGTTAAAAGTTTTATTCCAACATGACTACCGCTTTCCTACTAAAGAGCTCTATAAAAAAAACTGATGCATTATCCATAAGTCAATTATACAAATACATAACGTGCATACTAGTCAGATCTTTGATTCCATACACACCCAAATTAGTTTTAAAACGAAATCACATAAACACTGTACACGAAACAAACATAAACTGCATTTACCAAAAACCTATTCAGTTTGAGGGAGTGCTATTGTACAATAGCCTAACGATTGAAGTATTCATGAAAAATCGTTTTCAAAATTTAAAGATAAATTAAAAAAAAAACACTGTTAAACATTAATTTAAAGACAGTGCGTTTTTTTAAAATCCTGATTTGGATATATTTATGTAACTTTATTCATATAAGTCACCGTATATTAAATGTATTATTTTTACCAATTATGTTATTTTTAAGTCTCATATAAGTGAATTTTTATTCTTTTTTGAGATAATAAACCCTTTAAACCTAAACCTAAACCTAACGTATTTTCAGGAAGAATACGCTTTTAGCAATAAGACCGCCCATTGTACTATCAACATTTTGTATATAATGCATTTTGCATAATATTGTATATACCTGTAACACTTCTACTTAAATCAAGGGACTAATGAAATTTACCTAGACATACAAGAAGAGAAGAACATATTATGGTTTTAACATGAGAAACGTATTTTCAGGAAGAATTTGCTTTTAGCAATAAGACCGCCCATTGTACTACCTTTTAACATTTTGTATTTAATTTTATTTCTCTCTTATTTGTGTTTTGGTGAGTTCAATAAAGAATTATCAATCTATATATATCTGAACATATCTAACAAATTATAATTTGTGTATGAAAAGCTGCAGTATCATATATAAATCGTTTCGCTATGGTTTCACTTAATGGAACAGAATCGATTTAGTTTCATCGCTTACTAAATGTGTACACGCGTATTAAAACTAATCAATTAGTTTAAACTAAAGTGAAATTTCTACAAAATCTTTTCCGATATACAATTAAAGTGGATGCTGTTAGTGACAGGGGTAGTTAGTGAACGACTTGACTGATTGAGGTCATATTTACACAATTTGTTTTGTCGAGGCAATGGCTTATAGCTATACTAGCACTCGATAGGTGGCGCTGTGATCGAGATTTTAATACATTTTATTTTAAAAGTTGACTTGCGGTAATAATAAATAAAAAAAATTGTCCGACTATAGACTACTGTCACAGCCCTCTGGTAGTCCGGAACTTTCTAAAAAAAAGTTTAAAAATAATAAAAAAATAAAAAAATCATTTGATGCACTATGAATACCTAATAAGTAAATGATGGATGCCCGCTGTGCCGCAACCACAGTTACATTTAAACTGATACCATTGCGCGAACTAATTGCAACCTGTTTGTCCACGTATTCGCTCAGGACACCTCACCCGTGACGAATTCATAACGCGACTCGATTGTACATGTTGAAGGCATGTAGAAATATAATAGGGTGTGGATTAGCCAGGGGCCGGATTACCGGGAGTGCACTGTAATGTTAAAAGTTTGGTCCAAAACTCTTCGCACTACCTACCGGAAAAGCCAGAGCGACGTCTACCAGGCCAGCTCGTATTCCGCAAATAACTAGCGACCCGCCCCAAATTCTTCAGAGTAAGATCTCGTAGTTTTGGGGGCGTGGCTTATTCCCTTGTCGGTGAAACTAACGGACGACTGCGGGAGTGTCAAAATGAAAGTGATGCAATGACTTCATAGTACGCAAATTATGAGATAGCCATACCGAGCAAGCGCTCGGAAAAAAACTAAGTACGCGCCAAACAACATTTTTATTTTTTTTAACTAAACTGCGTTATGGATTGAAAAAGTGGTTTATGAAAACTTAGATATGATTATTTACTATGCCTTAAAAATAATTCCATGAACTTATTCGTAAAAATATTATGGTGTCATGGAGAAATGTAACTAATTAGAGCCTACTTTGCAATTTGTTTCTATCGAGAAAATTAAATGTATCGTGTTTTCCTTTTATGCAATCCAAGGTCATATAGTCAAAAATCATATACCAAAATTTTGGTTTGTAATTTATAAAAAATTAAAAAGATATGTAAAATAGAAAAACCAACAAATATACGAGGTAACACCTTAATGTGGCGTTATTTAGATATAAGATGACCAAAGACCATTTACAATGGTTTCGTTTTTTTCTTCTTCGAAAAACCTATCTAGTTTTTCGGATGTAATTTTTTTTTTAATAGGATAGGGTGACGAGCACACAGTCCACCTGATGGTAAGTGGTTGTTGCGGCCCATAGACATCTACAACTATCTTCGATTACAAATCAAAATGCAGATGCGTTGTCACCCGTGAGGTCTAAGATGGAATGCCTCGTTTCCAGTAAAAAGGGTCTCCGGTTCTCTACACTCACAAAAAATAGATCTATCCTAAATAAAGAAAAAAAAAGCTTCGAAAGCTGTAGACCATATTTCATACAATACAAGATATTAACAGTTATATCTTTATACATATTAGAATCATGTAAATTAGTAAAGTAAATTAATATTGCCCTAAAACCACTTTATCTTTATACAGTTCTGGACCTTATTCCATGGCAGTTAAACTATATAATACATTCTCGATCACTAATAAAAACATACATTACCTAAGATATAATAGAGATAGAAGATATAAGAAGTTTGTGATAGCACTAAATAGCTTTTTGATTAAGAAATGTTACTATAAATTAGGGAAATATTACGTTAAATTGAAGTAAATAAATAAATATAGTAATATAACGTATACTTATTATTTTATTATTACTATAATAATACTTGCAATGTATAAAGAATTTATAAACATTAGTATTAGAATTAAGACGTTAGAGGTAGCTAGCCTTATTTCATATTGTTATACGCTTGCTGGGTGCATGTGCTGTAATGTATCACACAAAACCACATGTAAATGCAATAAATAAATTAATAAATTACTCTTGATTGTACCCTCTGTTCGTAAAGATTCAATATAATCGTTTCTGTCCTTCCGAAAATTAGAAATTCCGGATAGACAAACATTTTAAAATCGTTCTTCATGTTTTAATGTGATAAATGATGTGTAGATGTTAACGGCTTCATGGCGCAATGCCTTAGAAATGAATTGCGGCACTGAGAGACACGAGTTCGAATTCCTCATGGCCATAGTATTTGTATGGTCTACAATTAATTGTTCTGTACTGCCTCCATGATGCACGATCTTAGTGCGGGGGTAATGTTTATTAAAAGAAAAAAGACATGTATAAATAAAGTCATAACACGAAACTAATTTCCATTTCTCTATTGTTACAGGATTTAATACCGCCACAAGACACGGAATCCTACTTGCTAAAGACACAAAACGCCATCACCAACCTGCAAGCGAAGCTGCAATCATCCAGGGCGACCAACTTCTCGAACATTCCGTCCCAGCTCACCTCCAGCCTTATTAGCGATAAGACAGCAGTATCACGGCTTCCTCTGTTCCAGTTAAGCAGGTCAAACTCCTTGAACTATCGGCTCAGACGGAAAGACAACTCTGGCGATAGCAGTCCTCTTAGGAGTCCAAATCATTATGTCATCACCGGTTCTAGCAAAGTACCGGAAAGCACTAAAATACTCATTAATAGCGCCACCAGGTCACTGGAGACGGACAGAAGGCACGATTCCAACATGAACAGCCCATCATCAGAGAGAGGGCTATGCAGTAACAGTTCTGATGATAAAACGTTGTCCAACAAACCACAGTACAAAGGCTCACCACACCGACAATCACACTCACGGTACAAAGGCTTCGACGGAAAGCATCCGAACGAAGTGTATACAGATTTCAATAATGCAAACCCAGCGGTGTGCCTTAAGGTAGTCCTCAAGAATAACGCGTTAGACGCGAAATCTTACAGCCGAATCGACCAAACGCGTCACCATAGCGACGCCAAGAAGGCCCATCAACGCGTCTTCAGCGATGGCAGCAAGCAATTCAAACCCGTCCACACAAGCAACAACGCCGCTTTTGGCATGTCAATTAAACGCTCCAGCTCGTTCAACACGGTCAACAGAAATAATAATTATATGGATGTCGGGAGAATCGTGTCGAGGCGATCGAGTGGACATTCGGAGGAGTACAAGGATTATTATCTGTCAGACGAATCCGACAATGGGTCCTTCGATAAATCACAAGATTTGAGATATAAGAGGACTACTCATAGAGGCAGAATCGACTCGCCCGATCTGAAATCTGTTGCCCCTGCCAATTCACCTAGATGCCCCAATACCCCTGAAATGCAGCGTAAATTCGGGCCAGGTTTGGTCAGAAATACAAGCAGAGTGAGTAATAAAGATCGTAACGTAAATACCAGGATGTCTGAACCGCCAGTGTCGAAGGAAGAGAGAACAAAACCGGTCAATCATCAGAGCAGAAGGATATCAGATCAATCTAGACAGGCAGTTCTGAGCAGGCTGACTAAGTCTAGGTCTTCAACGAGGGAGACGAAGCCTAAAGTTCAGGATAAAGGTACTATTCTTTTTTGTCAATCACTAATTTATTTTAGGTTAAAAGACTTTCCAGCTTAATTCTAAGGACGTATTCATGCATTATTTTTTATTTTTAATATTTTTTTTGGAATCAGTGTTAGGGCCATGCTCTCGCAGAATACCAGCATATAATAGCAGCAACATACTAAATATACTGCGTTTCCGTATGTTTGATTTTGAGAACTGGAAACTCATTTTTCTAATCACAAGGCATAATAATACATGACACCAATAAGCCTTGTAAATCTAGTTAGTGACTGCCTCGTTGGTCTAGTGGTTATAGTAGTGCGCCTGCTGATCGTGAGGTCCTGGGTTCGAATCCCGGGTCGGGCCAAAAAATTAATTATTGAGTTTTGCCGTCAAGAAATTCTCAGTAGTTGCCCGTAGTCAGGAAGTTCGCGGTGTCTCACCCCCGTGCCTCGGAAAGCACGTCAAGCCGTTGGTCCTGCGCCTGATCTCTCTCCGGTCGTGTCGGTTTACCGTCCCATCGGATTATGAGAGTGAGGGAATAGAGAGTGCACCTGTGCTTGCGCATACACTTGGGCACTATAATCCTGTCCTGCGCCGATGGCTAGCCTCCGTTGAGGCAGGCCGCCGTGGCCGGAATTCGGTCTGGAGGACATTATTATTATTATAAGCCTTGTAGGACCCTCTTGTGAGTTCCATGCTGTTAGACATTATGCAGCAACAGCCACATATGACTTGCGCTTCGCATAGTTTCATTATAAACGGTTCAGCCACTCTTAAACATTTCCTCGGACATACACAGACAGACAAAATTTTCAAAAATAGCTATTATATAATGTGTTAATGGTATGCATATAACTCCGCTAGCCATATAAAAGGTAGTTATTACGATATAACAGACATACATTTAAATTTTATTTAAATGTATAGATCTACTCTAAATAATGTACGAAAACATTATTTAGAGTAGATAACTGAAAAGCGTGGTGAAGGGCGTTTCCGTCAGGGTCAGTGTAACCGATTTTCAGTAAACACGCAAACCTAAGTGAATGCAAGGATTTAGTTTAGTAATTATTTATTTAGTTTTCGTTAATTAGGCGACAGTGTTGCCATTGTAGCTAAATTAATTTAATCGTGCATAATGCGGACGATCCACGACTTTCTGCCACCAGGAGCAGTGCCACTTACTAATGTTTTTACAGTTCATTTGTTAAAAAAGTGTAGAAATTAATGTTTCTTTCTGAATTATTAGTTAAAATTTATATTGTTTAAATTAAAAGTGGATAAATCGGACTACATAGCCCAACGGATTAGTAAGCTGAAGTGGCAATGGGCCGGCCATATAGCTCGAAGAACCGACAACCGTTGGGGAAGAAGGGTTCTCGAGTGGCAGCCTCGTACCGGTAGGCGAAGTGTAGGGCAACCCCCCCTAGATGAAGTGACGACCTGGTAAGACATACATGAAGTCGATGTATGCAGGTGGCTCAGGACCGTGCTTTGTGGTATACCTTGGGGGAGGCCTATGTTCAGCAGTGGACTTGTGAAGGGCTGTAATGATGTTGATGATGATGAAATCGGACTACGGAAATTCCTAAAAGTTGAAGAATAAAAAAAAAGTAAAAAGAATGTGTAAAAATTAAAGAATAGAGCACTGAAGCACTGTTTTGTGTATAATAATAATGTCCTCCAGACCGAATTTCGGCCACGGCGGCCTGCCTCAACGGAGGCTAGTCATCGGCGCAAGACAGGATTATAGTGCCCAAGTGTATGCGCAAGCACAGGTGCACTCTCTATTCCCTCACTCTCATAGTCCGATGGGACGGTAAACCGACACGACCGGAGAGAGATCAGGCGCAGGACCAACGGCTTTACGTGCTTTCTGAGGCACGGGGGTGAGACATCGCCAACTTCCTGACTCCGGACTGCTACTCAGAATTTCTTGACGGAAAAACTCAATAATTGATTTTTGGCCCGACCCGGGTTCGAACCCAGGACCTCATGATCAGCAGTCGCGCTACTACAACCACTAGACCTACGAGCCCGTGTTTTACGTATATACATACACTAGAAGCCCAAAAACTTATAACTGAAACGCCATTTTTCAATGATGAGCACTAGCGACACCTGGTGAGCCTAAGATTATTAGCCACATTGCCATCAAAGCAATGAGTGTGGCAAACGATTAAGGATAAGGCCAGAAGTCTTTTCACTTCTTATGATTAAATAACTAATTGCGTAAAATGATTGATCTAAATACCAGCGATGAACGGTAGGCACTGTCTAAAGATGTTAAAAACTGGATTTTTCCTCCATATTTATGTTATTTAACCAAAAGATGTTGTGACGACCTGTTAAGACATGCAGGAAGTCGATGGATGCAGGTGGCACAGGACCGTGCTATGTGGTTTTCCTTGGGGAAGGCCTATGTTAAGCTGTGGACTTGTCCAAAACACGGAGGTCACAACATCTTTATGGACTGGCCCTAAATCGCTTAATCTCATTGCTGAGATGGTAATGCACGATAAAATTTATTTTGTTAAAGTGGTATTTGCTATTTTTGTGGGTGGGATTAGGTTAGACTGATGTTAGGTTAGATTGGTGTCACCTCCGAGGATGACGATGACTCGGATATGGTCCCGAGACATCGTAATAGCACTGCGAGGGTTCTGGAGGTAATAAATGTTACTCCTGGACCCCAGTTGGGTTCCACCGTGGAGTTTTAACCGGTAGAAATCCGGCATAACAAAGGTCTATAATAATAGGGATCCGTAACGATTTTCTTACGATAAAAAGGGCTAATTTAAAAAAAAAATAAGCCCAAAAATAATTTTTAGTATCTATAGTTTCTTTTGGCATCACTCGTAGATGCTGAAATGAAATGTTGAAAATTCTAGACATGGTAGACGTTTTGTATATGTACTGAAGTTTCATTCCGCATTATTAATAAATTTACTTTGCAATTTGGAAGCAGTGAAACTATTTTTGAAACCAGTCACACTTACACAAAACTATCATTAACAATGAACAAAAACAAAACCTAACCTATCCTTGGGCATCGACGGTCTATTCGTCTCGGTGCCCGCTCAAGTGATTAGTTACGCGTTACGCCGCAAAATGTTAGCTCTAACGACTGTCATGATTGTGCTATATTAGAAACTAGGGATGTGGGATGTCGCCTTGTTCAGTCTTCGGTCGCGACCGACTTAAAAGTGTTTCAAAAATGTTACTTGCTTGATAACCGTCAGTTAAACGCGTAAATACTTGACATAGATTTATAGTACATTTATTACACAGTGAATATTTCTTTATTGAATATTTTTGTTTAGTGATGAATTTTTAATTATTAGTTGCGATATTTTATAGAATAAGGGTGACAAATGAGCACACATTTCACCTGATTGTAAGTGAATGCTCTGACCCATAGACATCTACATCTATCTTCGATTAGGAATCAGTCCCGAAGACTAAAAATGAACGCCTCGCTTCCAGTAAAAAGGTTTTCCAGTTCTCTACACTAACCATTCGAAACATTGCAGTATTAAGCTGCTATTTTAAGCTGATATTCTGTGAGAGCGTAGTCCTTCCGCGGTCAAGCCGAACCATTTATATAGCTGAACCACAATATAGCAGCAGTATAATTGTGCAATGTGCTTTACTTGCTTTAATTATCCTTCATGAGGAAATCTATGAGCAGGCATTTGTTCAGCATTGGGCTTTTATAGGCAGTTGTAATAAACGATACGTGAGACGGTTATACCGCATTTATAGCCGACAAGTACAGTAGCGAGCTTAGTCACAGGGCAGTTGACAGTAAACGGTTGAGTCGACAGTAGTGTTCAAATGACTTAGTGGCGAGTTTAGTTAAAAAAAAAAACAATTTTATATTTTGAGGGTCGAACGCGAACACGTTGCGTCCTGTCAACTTAAGCACTGAATTAAACTCGCTCGCTCACACGAGCGGCGGGTTTAGATGCGGGTTGCGGAGGACGCGTGGGAGGGCAACACTTCGAACTTAACTCCCCGAAAAATAGACCGGCCGACTCAACTCAATAATTGCCGATCAAACAAGATTTTCTACTTAACTCTCCAGGTTCGCAAATTAACTCGCTTCTGTACTTGTCGAAGTGTAAAGCAGTCTTTATCGCAAACTTTGAGAATGGTATGTCTGCTATACGTGGTACAGGCACGCTACAGCTTTATTATAGTTGTAACACGAATGTAATGAGAAAGCCTTTGATTCCGTCGAAATTTGGGCGGTGTTACAGTCTCTTCAGCGGTGCCAAGTTGACTGTCGGTATATCGAAGTGCTGAAGTGTTTGTACAGTAGGGCTACGATGGCTATCCGAGTACAGAACCAGAGTACGAAACCTATGCAACTGCAGAGAGGTGTATTGGAAGACGTTTTCGAGTTACTGGACTGGAAAGGATACGGTATTAACATCAATGTCGAGTACGTCACTCACCTTCGATTTGCCGACGATATAGTATTATAGCAGAATCGCCATAAGGACTATATCGTTAAACATGAAAACTAAGTTGTACAACCAGTGCGTGTTGCCAGTGATGATCTACGGAACCGAGACGTGGTCCTTCACTGCTAGCCGTATGAGGACGCTCAAAGTCGCTCAGCGAGCTATGGAGAGGGCTATGCTCGGAGTTTCTCTGCGTGATAAATTTAGAAATGAGGATATTCGCAGTAGAACCAGAGTGACTGACATAGCCCAACGGATTAGTAAGCTGAAGTGGCAATGGGCCGGCCATATAGCTCGAAGAACTGACAACCGTTGGGGAAAAAAGGTTCTCGAGTGGCAGCCTCGTACCGGTAGGCGAAGTGTAGGGCGACCCCCCACTAGATGGTGTGACGACCTGGTACATGTAGAAAGTCGATGGATGCAGGTGGCTCAGGGCCGTGCTTTGTGGCATACCTTGGGGGAGGCCTATGTTCAGCAGTGGACTTGTGAAGGGCTGTAATGATGATGATGATGAACACGAATGTATCTTCTCGAACGGGAAGGGATCACCCTGTCACAGAATGATCTATGTTCTATCTGAGTGGCTCCGTCGCAATAAAACATGGAGACCAAAGACTATGTATATAACTTCGCCCAACACTAATTTTAACTACAATATTTCTCGATTTACAATGACCCCGTTTCCTGTGAAGAGGCGACGAGTAGTGATAGTTGTTTAGGGCACGTATTTGGTATTTCGACAGAGCCCTTAAGTAACAGAGTTAAAAATAGTATACTTGTTTGTTAGGCGTTTTCAAACATTCATCATCATTATTATTATCATCATCAGGCCAAAAAATTCACCGTTATTTAAGGGAAATATTTCATGGGATCAGAATCAGAAACTTTTTTATTCAATGTAGATTATAACAATACTTATTGAAAGTCACATTTTTCATTTACCACTTGTTCGCAAAAAAAACCTCTGTCCTGGGAAGAACCAGCAAGAAACCCAGCGGGACTATTTTTTTTTTTCAATATTAGCTTACAATCATGTATGTTACAATTAACAACACAAGACAAATTAGAAATAGCTTGGTAGCGATCACCCTTCCCAGGGGTTATTATCATCCATAAATTCCTTAATATTATAATAACCCTTATCATCAAATCAAATATTATATTTAAAAATGTCCTACCCGTGACCATGAGTGCTAAATTCGAATGGGTATTTAAAGTTTTCGGATAATTCCGTAATAGTTTATGACCTTCTTATATTGATTGCCCTTCTAAACTCGACAAACATCAAAACTCGTAACATTTGTGTGCAAACAGTCAATCACAGGTCACAGGTTATATAGGTCCTGTCAATCGTTTGATCCGGACCGTTCAAATAATGTAATTGCAAACATCACTACTTTGATGCAACCCGGGTTAAATGAATGAATTATTCACTATTGACACATGTCTAATCGGAATCCAAAATATTATGTTTCTGACATTTCTCATGGTCGCCTCTCACGACACCCATGGTATGAAATAGTGTGATGGACTCTCTTAAGCAGTCACAATACGGTAATTTGATTGACACATCCGTGGCGCAGTGGCTTAGCAATGACTTGCGGCGCTGAGATCCGTGGGTTCGAATCCCGCACGGAACTAGTATTTGTATGACCAGCAAATAATAATTGTTCCTGGTCTGGATGTTTGTCCTTGTGAAATCTTTGTGTGTAAACTGCCTTCACGATACAGGAGAAAAACCTAGTGTGGTGGTAACGTAATTAAAAAAAACATAAAAATAAATTGGATTATCTAACGAAAAGTTACCTGACCAAAATATTTTTATCTAAAATTAAGTACGATGAATCATTCCATCGATTATCGGTTACAAATGTGCCCATATTAGCTAAGTTTATAAATATATACTTACATAGTACTTAGTCGTAAGCAAATATGTTAGTACACATATTTAGAACGCCCTCTTACTAATCTTGTCGATGGCCTAAATATATAAATAAGGTTACGACGAGTGTCGTGGAATACTCGAAGGTTATCGTCGGTGTCTGAAATGACTAGGATAACATAGCATCCAAACCTCAAGGTTGAAACCACTGTGACTGGCAACTGATGCTTGGTTTTTATATTAATTAAATACAAGTGACCCGGCCAGGCTCTATGGGATCTATTAATGTGGCGTTATTGAGATTAAAAATAATTAAGAGGACTCTATGCCCGTTTGTCACCCATATTCTTTAAAAAAAATCTATGAGGGCAGGCCTATGTTTAGTAGTGTATCAATGTAAGAGAAAATGATTCCAGGTCAAAAGAAACCAAGCCAGCATCGGTCCTCATCCGCGCTGGCCTCTAAAGAAGTAGAGTTCTCCAATTGGAAGAAGAGGTCGTCTTACGACCCCATGAAGGCAGCACAAGAGGGGAAAAGGAGACAGCTGATGGCAAGACGGCAGGAGTGTAATAAGGATGACCTTAGTTCCCCCAGGTACGTAATCAAAAAATAGCTTTGTCTTCTAGATCAGGGTTTCTCAGAGCGAGTTACCCGAAACTGTAATGTTAAAAGTTTGGTCCAAAACTCTTTGCACTACCTACCGGAAAAGCCAGAGCGACGTCTGCCAGACCAGCTCGTATTCCACAAATAACTAGCGACCCGCCCCAAATTCTTCAGAGTAAGATCTTTAAGAAGATACCTTGAAAATGAATCTTAGTTTTGGGGGCGTGGCTTATTCCTTTGTCGGTGAAGCTTACGGACGACTGAGGGAGTGTCAAAATGAAAGTGATGCAATGACTTCATAGTACGCAAATTATGAGATAGCCATACCGAGCAAGCGCTCGGAAAAAAACTAAGTAAGCACCAAACAACATTTTTATTTATTTTAACAAAACTTCGTTATGGATTGAAAAAGTGGTTTATGAAAACTTAGATATGATTATTTACTATGCCTTAAAAATAATTCCGCGAACTGATTCGTAAAAATATTATGGTGTCATGGAGAAATGTAACTAATTAGAGCCAAGGGCAACACTACGCGAACCCCTGAGCCACGCTGCAGCTATATTATGGTTGTAGTACGAATGGGTTGGCTCCACCGGAGAAGGACGAAGCTCTCACAGAATACCACCATAAATAGCGACTTAATGCTGCTGTGTTTCGTATGGTGAGTGTAGAGATTCGGAGACCCTCTGGAAACGAGGCATTCCATCTCAGTCCTCAGGGGTGACAACGTATCTGCATTTCGACTCTCAATCGAGGATAAATGTAGATGTCTATGGGCCACAGCATATTTTTACGATCAGTTGAACTGTGTGCTCCTTTGTCACCCTTATTAAAAACAAGAAACTCCAAAGGTTTTGCCAGTCGATTGTAAGGCTTTTGCGACAAGATTAACTATACTGGCTGGCTGACGCGTGCAAAACGCGTGATGGTGCACGCCTATTGTACCATCACGCGGTATACGCCACGTCTATGTCGCTCGGCTAATCATCACCCGGTTTGCGTGCGATTGCGATGTGACATAGTTTCAATGACAGGGTCAAATTGATAAATTTTTGGCACGCGATCAGTTAGTTACTTCAGCTATGGCAATAAATAAATAATTTTTATTTCATTTCCAATTACCTATGCTTACATACAGGATCAAATATGATTACAATAAAATAAAATAACAATAAGTCTAACAAAAATAACATGCTATAATAAAATTAAAACTGTGTGTAGCATAATAATGTAGAATCTACAATGGAAAAATTGAAAAGTCAAGTTTATAAAATTAGCTTCCTGCCTGAAATAGGTTGAGTGTGTTTCAGCCCGTCACTTACACTATGGGTTTAATAATGTAGGACACTAGATAATTTAAATAATTAAACTGTATTATATAATAAAGAAAATAACTAAATAACAATTATTTGTTATTTACAATTAATACAAACTATTTTAGAATTTCTAACAACTTCTCTGTCTTTGTAATTTAATTTATTCAGATATTCCCTTACAATTATATTAAATTTCTTATAACTTACACTATATATCTTTAGTAACTTGTTGAGCTTTTTATTTAGAAATGGTCCTAAAATATGTAAAATCTGTTCATAAATGTGTGTTTTGTTTGAGGGTTTACACAAACTAAGTCCATTCTTCTCATGTCTACGGATTTTAAGTTGAATGGAAGTTCGGTATGCTGTTTTAATATGATGTTCAGAATAAATAACTGACGGACAGTTAGTACACTACATGCCAAGTAAAGTTGATGTGTAGCAAACATGAATAAATGATGATGATGAATAAAATTTTTTCATAATTTTTTTGTTTACGACAAGGTCGAGAAAGGCCTCACTTAGCTTTACTCGACAAAAAGGGAGGTTCACAAAAAAACACATTATTAAATCAAATTTAGACAAAATCAATCATGCAGATATATATGTATGTTATATATATATCATATATATTATGTTACAAATAGTTTGCTATAACTCGACGCCATATTATGGCGTTTGACAGATGCGCATATTATTTGAGACGCCAGAATATGGCGTTTGGACAGACGAGGGGTTAAGATAATTTTAGTTTTTAGTTTTAGATTTTTATTACAGGTCCTTTAATATTGTATATATTTCAATGTTATATAAATAATTGTTTGTTAAAGTAATCGATTAATCAATTTCAGTCACTCCTCACCTGTCCACCGGTCGCAGTCCTTCCACACGACCAACATCGCGGACCTGGAGACGCTGGACTACTCCTCGGAAGACGACCAGATGCTCTCGACCCTGCCTATCGACCCAATGATCACGTCGACACACTCGGATATTTTGGACTTGAGGCCTAAAGACTTCACCAGAGAAAACCTGAGAAGGCAGGCGATGACCAACGACGTGGTTCTATCTAGGAATTACGTCACCAGTTTCCAGGTAAGAAATGTTTTTACCGTGTTTATTGCTTAAATACTATAGGGTTTAGCATGCATTGAATTTATGATGCAATCCATTAGCGGCAGACATAGGAAAGATTGTGTTGTCTTTCCGTATGCATTCTTAGACAGAAAAGTAATAAGTAAGTAGTAAGAATCTTATAAACATTACTTAATAAATGAACAAAACCAAAAAGGTTTTAAGTGGTATGGCCATGCTGCAGCTATAGCTTTATTATAGTTGTAGTGCGAATAAGTCGACTCGACCGAGGAATGACCACACTTTCACAGAATACCAGCGTAAAATAGCAGCTTAATGCTGCTGCATTTCGTATGGTGAGTATATAGAACTGGAGAACATTTTCACTGAAAACGAGGCATTCCATCTTATTCAGGAGTGGCAACGCATTTGCATTTTGATTCTTAATCGACGATAAATGTAGATGTCTATGGACTACAGCATACACTTACCATCAGGTCCACCTGATAGTAAGTGACGCAGTCCACTGTGTGCTCGTTTGTCATTGTGTTATTCTATAAAGAAAACTTGTTAGTTGTAAGGATTTTATTCTGTCCTATAGAATGGCACGAGCCATGCGATGAGCTTCAATTTTCTTTTTTTACTTGGTGGTGGACTCATATGGTTGTACTTTTGCCAGTGCCAAAAACTTCTTCATAATATGTTGATGCATCAAACTGTGATAGTTTTGGGAGATTTTGACGGCTGCTTGATCCAGCAGACAGTCGATGACGACAGTATCTCAAGGCGTCTAAGCATGCACATTATCTTGAGGTTCACGTCACCATCGGAGCACTTGCTTCATCGGTTCCACTAATAGTTCACGTGCACAGACATATCATACACAAAACCCCACCACTTTTACATTTTAAAACCCTTTTTATACCATATTTAAACAAAGTTACAGGAGCATCAATCCACCTGCGATTAAGTTTCCACCAAAACTCAATAGCATTAGTTTTGTATTGCACTTAAAAATTTCTTTCCACAGGTCAACCAGCCCTCGGAGAAGGCAAAACGCATAGAAGCAGACAAGCGAAAGACTTACCTCCTCGACGATATAACCCCAACAAAGGAGAACGTGGACTTCCTCCCGAAGAGAGAAAATGACGCCGCAGTAGACAAGAGAAAGACTTTCATACTGGACAGCGACACAAACTCCACGACAAACGGCAGTAGTCCGAGGAACTCCTCCATATTCAGTCACGAGAAGAACTCTCTCACGACTGGCACCAGCGATACAGAAGGAGAGAGCGGGACGGAAAGCGCTCCAGTGGTTATGAGACATCAAGGGGGGAAGAAAGGGACAGCACAAGCAAAACAGAGGTAAGAATAGTTGAAGTAGGAATATCTGCCGAGTTTAGTATGAAGTATCTGTGAGTTTTACAGACTTTTAAACCATTCCCACCTCACCAATTAAGCTGAAAATTTTGCTACTCGCTGTTGGGAGATATATTTTCTTTACAACCCACTTGATATGAACCTGAAATGAAAGGGTTTGCCAAGCGGGGACTATATGACGTTATTCTTAATACAAAATGGCGTTCACTTCAAAATGTCGGACGTCGTGTTAAATAAGAATTTTCATGTTTTAACTTATTTTCCGGTGTGCAATTTTATACCTGATATAGACCCGCTGGAGCATAAATATATCGGCTCGTCGACCGGGGAAGGACCACACGCTCTCACAGAATATCATTGTAAATTAACAGAACCGGAGTTCCCTCCAGTTCTCTGTTAATTTACGATAACGATAACGATACGATTACGATAACGGGTTCCATCAAAATTCTCAGGATTGTCAATGCTTCTGCATTTTCATTCTTAATTGAGAACAAGTGTAGATGTCTATGGGCCACAGCATCCACTTACCATCAGGTGGGCTGTGTGCTCGTTTGTCACCATTATTGAATGGAAAAAAAATTAATATTTTTTAGACCGATTCACAGTTAAAATGATTTTTTCATTTTTCGTAATGTCATGCGATCGGTATAGAATTCATTGCTCATGTAATAAAATCATTAAAATATCAAGTTAAACAAATCTCAACCGTATTCCTACAGGTACAGCGGTGACTATTCCATGTCATCATCGACCACCTCAATAAGCCAACAGCTCAAGAGGCCTAAAGAGATCCAGCCTAGATATCTAGATATATCTAAATACAAATCGGAGAACTCGCCGAAGAACTTTCTGAGGCGGGATCCGAGCAAGACGTACGTCGGGGTACTTAATCATACCGAAAAGGGGGTTAGTAAAGGAAGCGCGCAGCACTATGAAATGGGTGAGTTTCATTACACAATTTAAATTAAACCATGTTCTTGTCGACTTCATAATGGCACGCGTAACCATGAAGGTTAGAGAACAGGAGAACGATCGCCGTAGAAAATAGTGTCTCAGAAATATGGACACCATAAGTGAGGCGCTGCGATCGCTCAGTTCGGTCAATAAAAGTCATTTTCAGTCTATTTTTCCGATCAGATGCTAAACCACTTGCACATCCAAGCACAATAAAATATTTCTCCATTTTTTATTGTTTCTTTTTTGTCAAAAATTACA